TTTGTCTGCGGATGAGTCTTTCTTTGCTGGTTAGTTGTTGTTTGACGGCGAAGCTGAACATGTTTACCGGCAATACTTACGTTTCTGAGCGCGAAATTTGGATTTGTGTGACAGCTAATTTTCGTGCAAACTAGCATTGGAAGCTAGCTGCAGCTGGGGCATTGGCCGAGAACACTCAGTCTGAATAAAAGGGAGCAATGTGGATTTCTTGTTCCGAGAGGGAAAAGCCGAGGTCTCGGAACGAAAGGGGAGGTAGTAGGATTATAAAGCGAGAGAAAAATTCGGTTCCCAGGCATAAGTGGAGAATACAAGTGAGTATCCAAAGGTGGAAACAAATAAACTAAGATGAATCACCAGGAAAAACAAAGGCACAGTAGCCGCAGAATCACACAATCGCACTTTGTGATGTTACAGGTATGCAGTATGCTGAGCAGTAGATAGCACAGCCTTGGGGGCAAATTAGAGAGGTGAGCAGACGAGCTGCTGTGGAAGGGGAGGCTCAAAGCGGCACACCCGCTCAAGCTTCCAGCCCGCGCCCTTGAAAAGCTCCACGAAGTTGCCGAGAGTGCGCTCTTGACAGTTCGCAATGGTCATCACCTGCGCAAGAGTGATGTGAGCAGCGGGTAAAGGAGGTGTACATGGACCTGTACGTACACCCACATCTACGCCATACATGAAGCCCGTCGCCGAGTCGGCGTATGGCAACAACGGTTCTGGGGCTTGGGGCTTTGCAGCGCCGGGGATGTCAGCCGTAGCGCCAGAGTCGCGGGACATGTAGTCTATGATGGCGTCCATCACGACGAGCTTGGTGGTTGGCTGTGCCGCGTCCCGGAGTCGCGACAGGATCTTGCTCGCGTACTTATCCGGCCAGTCGTGAAGGACGTACCGGAGAACAAATACGTCGGCGTCAGTGATGGGTTGTTCCGCAAAGAAATCATGACCTGTGGCACGAGTCTGGTTTTAGTAGTGGGATGCAACTCGGAGGCAAGACGGTGTACCTTGCAGCCGTACGATGTCATTCTCAACAAACCCGGGCATATTTGCCCTCCACAGCCGCTCCCCTTCCTGAACCGCAGCGTCTGTCCTGAACGACATATCGCAGATGCTTGTGGGCCTTTGCAAGAGACATGGTCAAGCTGCCGATTCCGCCGCCGACGTCGATCACCAGGTTGCCCGAGGGAAGTGACGCCCACTCGAAGCCTTGCGTCGCGACGATGCTGTCATCAGAGCTCGTACTCGCACGCATGCTGATGCTGAACTTGCGCATCTCCAGCGCATGCTGTGGACGCTCCATCCAGTCAAACAGGGTCAGTTTGGTGCGCATGGCGCGCTGCCACGGGGCCTCGTTCGACTCCTGCGAGTGCCCGGTCGCAGGGTCCAGGATGTGTTCCGCCAGCCAGGAATTGCCCCGCTGAGTCTCTGCTCTGCGGGTGCCTCAGGATATTGTGATAAAGATCTCGCCGGAAAGACTTACTGTATTGAAACGAAAGCGGCAATCCCATTGGTGTCGTCCCACCTATCAATAGGACTTCTCACCATCTCTTGGACAGGCTTGCCCGTGCACATGGACGAAGAGATGCGGTTGTTCCTAAAGACATCTGGTGCGACCTCCTCGAAGATGTGCCGAGACGCAAGGAGTCTTAGGATTCGGCCTATCGTTCAAATAAGATGCAGAATCTTGCACGGTTGACGAACACGAACCTAGTTTGCTTGCATCAACATTTCTGACTGCCGCAATCTTGTTAACATGCAGGCCCTATACCAATGTTAGCTTCAAGGTGCTGAAGAAATACGGAAGGTTGAAACCTTCGTGCCTGCCTCATGCAGAACATCGGGAACATATGCCGCCTCTGCAGCCGACATTGAGCCAGAAAGGTACGTCTACCGAACGTCAGTAATGTTGCATGCTGTGCGGACTTGCGCACGCACCAAGGTCGCGAGCTCCAGTAAATAGGTATGGGGATGCTTGAGCGTTGCGATGAGTTGCCATGCAGCAGCAATCATGGGTGCAGCGTCGGCTGCGAGGTCACTTTGTAACTTCTCGTCTTCCGGGCTGGGCGATGTCTTCGGCGTAGGATAGAGCATGCCGCGCTCAGCGGACTTGGACTGGATATCCTTGATGCCATTGGCGATGATCTGTCCAAGCGCATCGAGGGTAGACATGACTGGGGTGTATGAAGGGCAGTTTTCACTGGTGTTAGCATTGTCAAAGAGGTACCTTTTATATCAATGAGGAGTGCTTTCTCGATGTGTCTTCTGCAGCGTTAGGATGTGACTAAACACACTGACGTGCGCATCGCCCGTCCGAATCAATGTAAAGCTTGCTGCTAAGTTCTCTCACAGCTGAACAGAACCTTCTCCTAATGATGGTAGATTTATCTATATCAAGTCAGAATCAGATGGTAAGTACCAGACATTGAAGCAAATTACTAGGTTTTTTGAACGAAAGTTCACCCCACTAAAAATCACCTTTACGTCCGCACCCGAGGCAGTGTCGGGCAACTCGTCCGTGAGGGCGCGCTTGGCGGTTGACGAGTATCTTGTCCGTTGGATGGTAGCTCCCATAAGCGAGCCCAGCTACTTCACACAGGGCGTCATCGGTCAGCAGACCTTGCTGAGAGAAAGCTTCAGCGTACCAGAGATCCAAACACGCTACCAGAGGCACCCTAGTCCGCTAGCGACAGTGGAACCGCAGACCATTTACTGCCACGATGAGCTGAACTTCCAAGGAGCGCAGTCGCAGGCCAGTCACAGCTCCAGACATGCCGGCCCCGCTATCTACGCTGAAGCCAGATAACGAACGCGGTTTGGATTGACGTGTAGACACGCACAGTGCGAGAACGAAAGTCATCAGGCCTTCTTGAGTGTGTTCTGCAGCTCGACTAGTAATAACTCGTTGACGGGTATCTGATCCTCCGTTACTTACTGGGCCATCACCAAAACCGCCAGCTCTTGGAGAGCGTCTTGAGCGTCTTGGGTAACACGCCCAAGACACTAACTTGAAAGGCACCAAGACACTCGGTGTTAGCCAAGCTATGTCGTTTATCTTGGGAAGACGCCCGGTCTTGACCAAAACTCTTAAGACGGTCAGCTACCTTTGATCCGTGTCGGGATACCAGACCGATCCGGCGCTTCTCGGGCGCTTCAAGCGTCCGGCCGCGCCCCCCGAAGACGCTAGACAAGAGACACAACGCGACATGCTTACTTAACACGTACATGTGAGTGTGCTTTCGTGCGAGAAAGTAAGATAACGCACGCTAAATTCTCAAGCTCATTACATAACCTTCCGGATCCGAAGTCGTCGGGCGTGCGCTCTCTACCAGTGAACTTTCGTGTGCCTTGGTGCGTGATCATCGCGTATGCACGTACACAGGTGCACACGGAGGCTCACGCGCTCACGAAATAATCAGGGCCAGTGAGCATTCGCACGACATTTGCGCGTGTAGTACGCGCTCGTTCACTCTTGTTTGTGCCCCGGGCCCTTGTCACCAAATCGTCCTCTTTTTGACAGGTGCATATGCGTCAACATTGCCCGAGTCGCTCCACGTTGGGCTTCGACGGAAATGTAGCAAGCATGCGCACTCTGACGTTGTATCATCTCATCACTGCTCGCCTGGGCCTATCGAGCCGGCATCCGGTGATACCACGGATCGAAACTGTGCTCGCGTGTCACCGGACTCGAGCTGACGCCTATCACATCGTTATGTGCTGGGCCCAGTCCGTCTGCATAGGCTCGTTCCTATCTCAGCCCCCATGGAGAGCGTAGCAGCTGCGGCGTGCACCGCGCTTTCTGTTGGATGCCTCACCTACATTATTTACCGCACTTTTGTGAGTAGTACAGGTGCCCAAGGACTTGCAAAGCTTCCTGGACCTCGCGGCTGGCCGTTCATTGGCTACTTGCGTGCCATCGAGAAACCCGAATGTGTCACGTACAAGCGATGGAGCGACGACTACAGTAAGTTCCGCTATGCCTCGCCGCTTTTTCCAGGTGCTCATTGCCAGATAGAATCCGACATACTGGGCGTGAATATGCTGGGGACCACCGTCGTCATAGCGAACACACTCAGAGTCGCGAACGAACTCTTGGAGGCTCGGTCTGCCATCTATTCTGATAGGTGTATCACGTTGCGCTCCCGCCCGCAGACACATCGTTAACCGACTGAGGCCGAACACAGGTCTTACCATGCTGAGAGATCTGTACGCCACTCAGTCAGTTAGTCCAGGCATTTCACTGATACGTGCCTAGTGTTGGATTTGGCTGGAATATCGCGCTCGCGCGATATGATTCGTACTGGCGCGACGCTAGAAAGATAGCCTCTCAAGCGTTTCATCCGCAAGCTATCGTGCGCTATCGACCGGCAGAGGTCAAAGCGACACTCAAGTTTCTCCTCAACCTCATGGATGCACCGGAGGATTTCCGGAGTTACATCAAGTAGTGAGCAAAGCCTCCCTTTCCTGCATGACGGTCCGGATCTAAGCATCCTGAAGCTTTGCAGGGCAGCAAATCTTGCACATCACTTACGGTCTCGAAATTCAGGACAGGAACGACCCGTACATTGCAATGGCCGACCGTGCGGTGTTCATCGGTACTGCATGCGTGGCCCCAGGCTCATATCTGGTCGACCTTATTCCCATACGTGAAATATATCTACTCTGCCAGCTTTATCAGTATCCTAATAACTCTGAAATTTGCAGTCAAATATATTCCAGAATGGTTTCCCGGTGCTGGATTCAAGAGACAAGCGCGAGAATGGCGCAAAGATGTCAGCCTCGCATTTAATGCGGCGTTCGCTGCAATGAAGGTGTGCTGGCTCCTGTATCGCCTCTCTTAGCCACTATTAAACATTTGGTTGATCAGGCTCAAGATAGTATCCCTTCAGACTGCATGGTAAAGCCGCTCGTGGAGAAGATGCTCGATGGTCCCGGCGATCCTGTCTATGCGGAGTACGTTCTGAAAGGCACACTCTCATCGATGTATATAGGTAGGCTTGCACAAACCTGGCACTTGGCAGTACTTCTTTGAACACTCCCCATATAGCTGGAGCAGACACGGTCAGTTCTTTTTGTGGTCATGCATCCAAACTTGTGCTGACTAATGGGCAGACCGTATCTATCCTAGATACATTCTTCCTCGCCATGACGTTGCACCCTGATGTCCTGCAAGAGGCACAACGCTCCGTGGATCGCATCTGCGAGGGACGACTCCCCAATTTCTCAGACTACGACGCGCTGCCGTGGGTACATGCCATTGTGAAGGAATGTCTGCGCTGGCGACCGGTCTCCCCGATGGGTCTGTGCCCTCTCTTCCCAATTTAGACAGTCTGGTGATTGACGACTGATCAAATAGTCTTTGCACACATGCTAACCAAGGATGACATTTACGAAGGCTATCACATCCCGAAAGGCTCGCTCGTCCTCGCGAATGCTTGGTACGCTTCTTGCGTCTTTCTCAATTCTACCAGACTCACACGCAGAGTAAAGGGCAGTCCTACATGATCTAGAGGCATACTCCGATCCAGAGGCCTTCAACCCGCGACGTTTCCTCCGACCACGCCCGAGCATTGGCGGAACGGGCACGGAGAACGTGGAGCTCGACCCGACCGTGCGCGATCCGATGGTAGCGGCCTTCGGCTTCGGGCGGCGCATCTGTCCTGGGCGTCACATGGCGTACGAGTCCCTCTGGATCGCGGTCGCGAGCGTCGTTGCTGCATTCGACATCACCAAGGCCGTCGATGCACATGGTGCGGTCATTGAACCGAGTGGGGAGTACACGGATGGGTTCTTGACGTGCGTGTCTCTTTCAATGTCGGTGAGGGAAAGGCCACCGACGAGAAGATCTACAGGGCGCCGAAGCCGTTTAGGTGTTGTATTCGTCCACGGTCGGCTGCGCATGCGGCGTTGGTGCAAGCTGCGCCAGAGCAGGATGGTTGATGGTGCAGATAGCAGTGACCTACCGGTCTATCGCGACATAGGTTCAACCATTTTGGTACTTACACCTGCCACAATGGCTGCTCGCGACCAAGTTCAGGCTCGCTCGCCTTGGGGACATCCGGGATCCTGCGGCACAGACTAAGGCGGCATAGGAGGTGATCGACCGTTCGAGTGCGTCTCAATTATCTGCCTATGTATGCTATTCAGGAAAATCTGTCAAATGCGCTGCCCACACCTTTGTGAAGCATCGTT